TGGACAGAAGTCCAGTATACATAGGTAGTAGTTTAATGAATAAATGAAAGGTCTTTTAAAAAAAATCTTTGTTCCTCGGCCAGGTGTGGTAGCTCACGCCTATAATCCCACCACTTTGGGAGGCCAAGGCGGGCGGATCACCTGAGGTCGGGAGTTCAAGACCAGCCTGACCAACATGGAGAAACCCCATCTCTACTAAGAATACAAAATTAGCCGGGTGTGGTGGTGCATGCCTGTAATCCTAGCTGCTACTTGAGAGGCTGAGGCAGGAGAATCACTTGAACCTGGGAGGCAGAGGCTGTGGTAAGCCGAGATGGTGCCATTGGACTCCAGCCTGAGTAACAAGAGCGAAACTCCGTCTCAAAAAAATAAATAAATAAATAAATAAATAAATAAATAATAATCTTTTTTTTCTCCCTAAGAACTGTAACTATCCAGGAATAAATGAATGAATGGTCTTAATGAGCTACCTTTGCCTCAAAGCAGACTTTTCCCTTTGTCACTCCGTAAGTACTCCTTGCCCCAGACCAAAGGGTGGGGAACTTCTCTGAGAAAAGGGGCTGCCCTCCATAGCGGTCTTTGCTCACTTGAAAATGCAGATCCGAGGTATCTGTAAAGAAAGAAGCAATCAGTTTACTCCAATGTCCAATACTTGTAAGCTACCAACAGAGCACAAGTGTAGCCAGTTGTTGAAGTGGATACAAAGTCTCATAGAATTTATAGGCTATGAAGTTTTAATCTCCAAAATCACTTTTAGGAGATTAGTTAAAAACCACAATCTGTCTGCCTTATACATACACGTGTCCAGGTTCACAAGAGTTTGATCCTCCTCCTCATCTTTTGCCTCTTCTTCAGGAGGCAGTGGAGACTTTGAGCTATATATGTAAGATAGAAAAGAAACACAATGTAAACAAAGTCCTCTTCTTTGAGAGGTGTGTGTATGACATTATGTCCATTTTAAACTATCAGTGAATATCAAATCCCAGCAGACAGCTTTTTTCAATAAATGAGAAAGGGCAATAGGAGTTTCCATGGTAGATGCAATCTAAAACTCATGCCTATAAAAACCTATTCCATTTTGAATCCACCCTCCTTCCAGTCTCTCCAGTCAATACCAGGTATACCAAAATCAGAGCAGACACTCCCTTCAAGGAAAGGGACTGTTTCCCTCACCGGCTGTGGTAAGCCTCCTCTCGGAATTCATAGTAAGCTCGGCCATGTTCATCCTTCTCATCCCGCTGTCTCTTTACCCCCCGCCGCTCACCATCTGAGCCTGCTGGTTTTGACTTTTCACTATCTTGGTCATCTCCTACAAAAACGAGGGAAAGAAAATCAGCAGTTTTCATACTGGAGTGTAGAATAAGCTCAGAACTAATAGACACTAACAGGGAATCTGAGAATCTGTCTGATCAAAACAACTAGGTTATTCCCACTACATTCACAAAACATTTTATTTCTAAAGATCATCTTTCTGTCATTGGCTGTGATTTTATTTTATTTTTTAAAAAAGGGACATGGGCTAATTACAGTCAAGCAGTAGATAAAAATTGGACAATTTTTGCATTCTAAATTTATCCACTTAAATCAGGTCAAACTTGCAGATTTCCCCAACAATATGACATAAAAAATATCCCCTAGGTCTCTAAAAAAACTTCAAAGGTTAATTTGACTCTTGTCAGATCTAGATTTAAGGTAGGCAGTTAATACGTATTTTGTAACACTTTTCCACAACTTCATGATACAGAGAAGCCTCAATTTTTCTTTTCCCTTTCCTGTTTTGAAATGCACAGCCAAATGGACTCAAGTGCATTAAACATAGTTGTATTTTTACCAGGGACTTCTACTGAAAGTTGTAAGAGCAAACCACTAAGCCATAAGAGATCCATAAATAATACCTCATCTATACTGCACATAATTTGGGGCAGAAAGGTGGTGGTGTACATTTAGCAACATTCTCTACAAGGGGAAAAACCCTGGAATTTTTCCCTAGGCTTTTGCATTTTGCAACGCTAAGGTTTTTAATAATGATTTCTTTAAAAATCTTTTATCCTTCAATATATATATTTTTGAGATGGAGTCTTGTTCTGTCGTGCCCAGGCTGGAGTGCAGTCTTGTGATCTCGGCTCACTGCAACCTCTGCCTCCCGGGTTCAAGCCATTCTCCCGCCTCAGTCTCCCAAGAAGTTGGGATTACAGGCACCCGCCATCACGACAGGCTAATTTTTTGTATTTTTACTAGAGACAGGGTTTCACCATGTTAGCCAGCCTGGTCTCGAACTCCTGACCTCAGGTGATCCACCCGCCTGGCCTCCCAAAGTGATGGGATTACAGGCGTGAGCCACCACACCCAGCCTATCCTTCAATATTTTTATCTTCTCTTTAGGATACACATAAGTCAAAGGTTATGTAATGGGATTTTTGTTCCAGGACACAGGACAAACAATCTGCAAGTTGCATGCGATTGTTGTACAATGGGTTCAGACTCTCGGTTAGTGGCCTAAAAAAATGACTAACAAAAGAACTAAGGCCACCCACCTTATAGTAAGACTTATCCTCCCTACTCTGACATAGTGTTATGGATCAGTTGTAATCATCCAATCACTTCAAAAGAAAGGAGAAAGGTCACTAACTCCCTGGGGCAATTCTACAACACACTCTTCCACAAGCTTACTCAACGGACCCACCAGCACCTCAATCATTACCAGTCAGGAAACGAGGGACCTGAAATGTAAAAGGCTAGCACCAGGTATTCAGCAAATCTACAAACATGCCCATCCACGGACTCAGTGGGAGAATTAAAATGTAATCATAATCCAAGCAAGATAAAAACCCTAGCCAAGTAACGTTAACTAACTCTAAATGCACATGATTAACGTTTTCTCTTCACTGGTTAACTATTAAACTCGACAGTGTTACACTAGAAGCTCTCCCCTACAGCTCAAAGAAGAGCAAAGTTGGATTTTCAGATTCTCTGGCTCAAGCTCTGGTAACATGCTTTTAACTGAGCGGACTTTGACGGACTTCGATTTTCGCTTAACATTTTTACGGTGAAAAAGTTAACAGGTAGCCCAAAGGCCTGACCCTCTAACCGTGGGCCTAGTTCTCCGTGTAATCCCCAATTGCTTAGCACGTTCTCAACTAAGAAAAATATAACAAGCACCGTGGGAGACTGTTCCACAGGTAGCTCACAAGCAGTTCGCATACAAAATCACTCACTGCCATCCACTATCACCAAGGAACCAAGTTAGGCAGGAACCTTCCTCCTGCAAAGAGTAGGACCACGAGAGGCGGCCTAACCCCTCAGAAAGGTGGGTAGAGAATGAAAGGCATTCCATCAGATGGCACTTTGAGGCAAGCGAAAGCAAGGACTCGGACCCCGCGGTGCAGGGCGGGGTGCTAGATCAGGGGAGCAGCCGGCAGGTTGGAGCCGGGCTCGGCTGCCAGCTCCTCACCCTGTTCCTCGGCGGCCTTGTCACCCGGCACCTCGGATCCCGGCGTCTCGTCCCCGCTCCGTTCCTCGGGTTCGTCTTCCTCCCCCTTACCGGGGCCCTGCTCTTCGCCACCATTTACCCCGCCTGACCCGACCGTGGTTTCCACCGGCTTCTCGGAAGCATCTGGCTCGGCTGCGGCCTCCATGGCTGCCGCCTCCGGGGGCTCCGGCGGCGGCTGCGCGGCCTGACCCAAGGCCTGAGTAGGGGGTGGCTCCTCGTCCTCGTCCTCAAGCAGCGCCTCCTCGTCCTCCTCCTCCTCCTCTTCGTCCTCCTCCTCCTCCCCGCCCGGGCCGCCGCCCGACGCGGCCACAGGCCGAGGCTCCGCCTTGCAGGCCCCGCCGGGCCCGGCCCCGCCGCCGCCGGCCTCGTCCTCGAGCATCTCGGCGTCCAGCGCCTCCTGCAGCCGCTGCGCCAGATCCACTTTGAGGCCGCGCGAGTCCAGGCCCCGCCGCTGCAGCTCTGACCGCAGCTCGGTCACTTTCAGCCGCTTCACCTCCATCGCCGCCGCCGCCTCCTCCGCCTCCCGCCGCCTCCTCCCCTGCGAACCGTCGACCGAGTCCGACCGCGCAGGCGCCGCCGCCGCCGCCCGCCTCCGCCTCACGCGCCAGCACTAAGCCCGCGCGAGCGAGCGCACGCACGCAGGAGCGGAGGCCGCGCACGGTCCCACTGCGCAGTGTTTGCTTCTGCTTCCTCTCCCCTCCCCCTTTCGGCTCACGGAGCCCAAAACAACGCCGCGGGGAGCTGTTTCCCCTCCAGGCCTTCGGTTCCCCAGCCGCGGGCAGGCGCGCGCGGAGGACGACGGAGTTCCTCCCACTTCCTCCCGCCCCCTGGCGTCCCCGGGCCAATCGCCGCCGGTGCTTTTACCGCGCAGCCGCAGTGGAGTCCAAGACGGGCAAGGCTGGCTGCGGCTCAAGTGCCTCGTAGCACGGAAGCGTGTGCGCGCCGGTCTTTCTGTACTTCCAGCTGGGGGGTTCTGCGCAGCCGCGCGGAGCTCCCTGATGCCATTGCCCCTCCCACTACTGTTACTTCCGTCTCACTTCCAATTGCTGAGGCGTCTTAGGGGTCGCTAGCCTCTTTTTCCTACTGTCTGTGCTTGCAGCAGTAACGACAAAAAGTCAAAAGAGAATGTGTTGCAACATGTAAGCCTACTAGCAATTGTGTTTCTGGCTAGGAAGCAAAAGGACTCCCCAGAACCAAGAAATACAGTAATCACGGGCCCTCCTTTTTTCGCAACGCCTCAACTTCTACCCAGCAACTGAGGCCTTGACCCCGCCCTTTTTCTCTTATTGGACAACTTGAATCGTCATTTGCCGTTCCGATTGGTCATCCATGATCGTCCGGATTTTTCCAATTGGCGAAGCTGCCAGGGGATTTTTTTTTCCCCCCCCCCGCCCCGTTTGGTTCGTTGAGGAGGCGGGGTCGTTTCTGCGGGATTATTTTTCCGGAGCCTCTTCTGATTGGGCGATGTGGCGCAATGCTCGCCACCCTTTAAGATACCGCACTGTCCGCATTTCTGACGTGCTCCCGCCGGTAAACCGAAGCCTGGGAGAGTTACAGGCTTGGGCATCTGCTGAGGGCGAGGAACTGGTCGCGGCGCTGGGTGGGCTTGCAGCTGTGATGCTTATGTGGACACCTCAGTCTCCCTTGGTGGTGGTTCATCTCGGTTTCCCAGTTTATATTACTGACGTCAACAGATAAATGATTGCTGAATAAAGAAGAGTTGGAATTGCTTCAAGCCTCCGGACTTTTAGCACTAGTCCCACCCACTCCCTTCTACTTCCAGGTCGGGGGGCGGGTCCGAAAGAAAGGCGGAAGCCAGTGTGCCCGGCGTTCTCACGCCCGTAACAATTTCTGAGTAGGGCGTCGCTTGAGTTTTTCGGAAAGTCTCCCATCGTCTCCCCCGCCCCCATCGTCTTTTTAGGAAGTCCCTTAATGTTTGGCTTCATTATTCCCACATCCCCTTCCTAACTACTTGCCTGCACTTCTGGAGAAAAAGACTGCAGAAAGGAGAGGTGGGGCTGTGAGTAGAAACAAGCAAACCGCAGGTCCCTGTTGGGGGACCCTCCAGGAAGAAGAGTAATTTCCTGCCTTCTTGAATTGGCTACTACAGTCAATTATTTTGTTCCCAACCCTAGAGCTTCAATTGCTCCTTCACTTAGCAATTTCCCAAGAACCCTGGGCGACAGTTATGGAGAAGCGTCTGCAGGAGGCTCAGCTGTACAAGGAGGAAGGGAACCAGCGCTACCGGGAAGGGAAGTACCGAGATGCTGTGAGTAGGTACCATCGAGCTCTGCTTCAGCTGCGGGGTCTGGATCCGAGTCTGCCCTCTCCATTACCTAATCTCGGACCTCAGGGCCCGGCCCTCACGCCTGAACAAGAAAACATACTGCATACCACCCAGACTGACTGCTACAACAATCTAGCTGGTAAGAACGGGGCTAAAGGGGGCTAGAGAGCATTAAGACAGGAACATGAACATCTGTGAACATTGGGGAAAAAAAACCGCTGACTTTTTTTAAACTGTCATCCATTTATTCTGCCATGAGTTAAAATAATCTGCCAATCTGTGGGGCTCTAATTAAGTTGCCATAGAGCAGGGCTTCTCCGACTTCACCTGGAGAGTTTGTTAAAACACAGCTTCCTAGGCCCCATCCCCAGAGGTTCGATGGGTCTGACGTGGGGCCTACCAGTTTGCATTTCTTTCTTTTTTTTTTTGGAATGGAGTCTCGCTCGGTCGCCCAGGCTGGAGTGCACTGGCACGATCTGGGCTCACTGCAGCCTCCGCCTCCCGGGTTCAAGCAATTCTCCTGCCTCAGCCTCCCGAGTAGCTGGGACTACAGGCGCCCGCCACCACACCCAGCTATTTTTTTTTTTTTTTTTTTTTTGAGACGGATTTTCGCTCTTGTTGCCCAGGCTGGAGTGCAATGGCGTGATTTCGGCTCACCGAAACCTCTGCCTCCCGGGTTCAAGCGATTCTCCTGCCTCAGCTTCCCGAGTAGCTGGGATTACAGGCATGCGCCACCACACCTAATTTTTGTATTTTTAGTAGAGATGGGGTTTCATAATATTAATCAGGCTGGTCTTGAACTCCTGACCTCAGGTAATCCACGCGCTTCCACCTCCCAAAGTGCTGGGTTTACATGCGTGAGCCACCGTACCCAGCCCCAGTTTGCATTTCTAACAGCCTTCTGGGTATTGCTGATAGCTTTAGGGAATTTTGCAGGCTATAGGACAAAATTATACCTAAGGTCAGGCCATTGTTTATTTAAGGGACATTTAATATCTAAACCACCAGCTGAAGCAATGAACGTGTTTCACAAGTATTAAATGTCCCTTATTTTAATATTAAGTTTAAAGTAGGTCGTATAACTTTTCCTCATTTTTCTTTTTTTTCTTTTTTTTTTTTGAGAAGGGTTTCCCTCTTGTTGCCCAAGCTGGGGTGCAATGGCACGATCTCAGCTCACTGCAACCTCCTCCTCCCGGATTCAAACGATTCTCCTGCCTCAGCCTCTGGAGTAGCTGGGATACAGGCGTGTGCCACCACGTCCGGCTATTTTTTTTTTTTTTTTTTTTTTTTGAGACGGAGTCTCGCTCTGTCACCCAGGCTGCAGTGCAGTGGCCGGATCTCAGCTCACTGCAAGCTCCGCCTCCCGGATTCACGCCATTCTCCTGCCTCAGCCTCCCGAGTAGCTGGGACTACAGGCGCCCGCCACCTCGCCCGGCTAGTTTTTTGTATTTTTTAGTAGAGACGGGGTTTCACCGTGTTAGCCAGGATGGTCTCGATCTCCTGACGTCGTGATCCACCCGTCTCGGCCTCCCAAAGTGCTGGGATTACAGGCTTGAGCCACCGCGCCCGGCCCCGGCTAATTTTTTGTATTTTTATTAGAAATGGGGTTTCACCATGTTAGCCAACCATGTTAGCGAACCATGTTCAGACTCCTGACCTCAGGCGATTCGCTCACCTCGGCCTCCCAAAGTGCTGGAATTACAGGCATGAGCCACCGTACCCGGCCCAATAATTTTTATTTATTGAGTGCCTATAACATGTTGGGCAGTCATTTACAGATGTCTGCCATCTTCACAAAACTGCAAGGATTATCCCCGTTTTACAGATGAGGAAATCAGATCATGTCACTGCCTAAAACACCCCATTGGCATCTCATCACACTTATGAGAAAATCCAAACTCACCTTGGTCCCAGCACCAACTAGCTCTTTTATTTTTTTATTTTTTTTTGAGACTGAGTTTTGCTCTTGTTGACCAGGCTGGAGTGCAATGGCACCATCTTGGCTCCCCACAACCTCCGCCTCCCAGGTTCAAGCAATTCTCCTGCCTCAGCCTCCCGAGTAACTGGGATTACAGGCATATGGCACCACGCCCTGCTAATTTTGTATTTTTAGTAGCGATGGGGTTTCTCCATGTTGGTCACACTGGTCTGGAACTCCCAACCTCAGGTGATCCGCCCACCTCGGCCTCCCAAAGTGCTGGGATTACAGGCGTGAGCCACCACGCCTGGCCTTATTTATTATTATTATTATTATTATTTATTTTTTTGAGACAGTGTCGCACTCTGTTGCTCAGGCTGGAGTGCAGTGGTGTGATCTCGGCTCACTGCAAGCTCTGCTTTCTGAATTCAAGCGATTCTCCTGCCTCAGCCTCCCAAGTAGCTGGGATCATAGGCGCCTGCCACTACACCCGGCTAATTTTTGTATTTTTTTTTTTTTTTTTTTGAGACAGAGTCTTGCTCTGTAGCCCGGGCTGGAGTGCAGTGGCCGGATCTCGGCTCACTGCAAGCTCCGCCTCCCGGGTTCACGCCATTCTCCTGCCTCAGCCTCCGGAGTAGCTGGGACTACAGGCGCCCGCCACCTCGCCCGGCTAGTTTTTTGTATTTTTAGTAGAGATGGGGTTTCACGGTGTTAGCCAGGATGGTCTCGATCTCCTGACCTCGTGATCCGCCCGTCTCGGCCTCCCAAAGTGCTGGGATTACAGGCTTGAGCCACCGCGCCCGGCCGAACTGGCCCTTTTATGCACTTAATGCCCAAAGTACATTTCCACCTTCACGTTTTGTAGGCTGTCTTTCCAGCTAGAATGCCCTGTCCCTTGAATGACACTTATCCAGATTTGAACTCAAAAGTTGCTTCCTTAGAGAAGCCTTCTGTCGGCTGGGCGTGGTGGCTCATGCCTGTAATCCCAGCACTTTGGGAGGCTGGGGTAGGTGAATGACGAGGTCAGGAGATCAAGACCATCCTGGACAACACGGTGAAACCGCGTCTCTACTAAAAATACAAAAATTAGCTGGGCATGGTGGCACGTGCCTGTAATCCCAGCTACTCAGGAGGCTGAGGCAGGAGAATCGCTTGAACCAGGGGAGTCGGTGGTTGCAGTGAGCCGAGATCGTGCCCTCCAGCCTGGCAACACAGTGAGACTCCGTCTCAAAAAAAAAAAAAACAAAAAAAACAGAAGCCTTCTGAGTTGGGCGCAGGGCGCAGTGGCTCACGTCTGGAATCCCAACACCTTGGTAGGCCAAGGAGTTCAAGACCAGCCTGGGAAACGTGGCGCAACCCTGTCTCTACAAAAAGTCACAAAAATTAGCCAGGCTTGGTTATGCGTACTGGGGTAGTCCCAGCTGTTCTGGAGACTGAGGTGGGCCAATGTCTTGAGCATGGGAGGTCTAGGCTGCAGTGAGCCAAGATTGGGCCACTGCCCTCCAACCTGGGCGACACAGCAAGCAAGACTCTGTCCCCCACATTCCTCCCACCAAAACATCTTCCATAAGCAAACAGCACTCTGACTTCATTCATTCTCTGTCCCAGCGTAGTTTTATTTTTCTTAAAGCAATTCTTTTTTTTTTTCCAGACCGAGTCTCGCTGTGTCACCCAGGCTGGAGTCAGTGGTGTGATTCTGGCTCACTGCAAGCTCTGCCTTCTAGTTTCACACCATTCCCTTGCCTCAGCCTCCCGAGTAGCTGGGACTACAGGCACTCGCCACCACGCCCCGCTACTTTTTTGTATTTTAAGTAGAGACGGGGTTTCACCATTAGCCAGGATGGTCTCGATCTCCTGACCTCATGAGCCTTGGCCTCCAAAGTGCTGGCATTACAGGTGTGAGCCACTGTGCCCAGCCTCTTAAAGCACTTTTAAAACTTAATTTACGGCCGGGCGCGGTGGCTCAAGCCTGTAATCCCAGCACTTTGGGAGGCCGAGGCGGGTGGATCACGAGGTCAGGAGATCGAGACCATCCTGGCTAACATGGTGAAACCCCGTCTCTACTAAAAATACAAAAAAAAAAAACTAGCCGGGCGTGGTGGCGGGCGCCTGTAGTCCCAGCTACTCAGAGGCTGAGGCAGGAGAATGGCGTGAACCTGGGAGGCGGAGCTTGCAGTGAGCCGAGATCGCGCCACTGCACTCCAGCCTGGGTGACACAGCGCGAGACTCCGTCTCAAATAAAAAAAAAACAAAAAAAACAAAAAACTTAATTTACTTGTGCCGGGCGCGGTGGCTCACGCCTGTAATCCCAGCACTTTGGGAGGCCATGACGGCCAGATCACAAGGTCAGGAGATGGAGACCATCCTGGCTAACATGGTGAAACCCCGTCTCTACTAAAAATATTTTTGCCGGGCGCGGTGGCTCACGCCTGTAATCCCAGCACTTTGGGAGGCCGAGACGGGCAGATCACAAGGTCAGGAGATCGAGACCATCCTGGCTAACATGGTGAAACCCTGTCTCTACTAAAAAATACAAAAAACTAGCCGGGCGAGGTGGCGGGTGCCTATAGTCCCAGCTACTCGGGAGGCTGAGGCAGGAGAATGGCGTAAACCCAGGAGGCGGAGCTTGCAGTGAGCTGAGATCCGGCCACTGCACTGCAGCCTGGGTGACAGAGCGAGACTCCGTCTCAAAAAAAAAAAAAAATTTTTTTAAATTAGCTGGTTGTGTTGGTGGGTGCCTGTAGTCCCAGCTACTTGAGAAGCTGAGGCAGGAGAATTGTTTGAACCTAGGAGGTGGAGGTTGCAGTGAGCCAAGGTCGCGCCAGTGCACTCCAGCCTGGGTAACAGAGGGAGACTCTGTCTAAAAACAAACAAACAAATTCATTTACTTGTTTCTTGTGTATTCCTCCACTTTTTCTTTTTCTTTTCTTTTTTTTTTTGAGATAGAGTTTCACTCTGTCAACCAGGCTAGAGTGCAGTGGCATGATCTTGGCTCATTGCAACCTCCGCCTGCCAGGTTCAAGCGATTCTCCTGCCTCAGCCTTCCAAGTAGCTGGGATTACAGGCGCCCGCCACCAAACCCAGCTAATTTCTTTGTATTTTTAGTAGAGATGGGGTTTCACCATGTTGGCCAGGCTGGTTTCGAACTCCTGACCTCAAGTGATCAACCTGCCTCAGCCTCCCAAAGTACTGGGATTACAGGCATGAGCCACTGCACCTGGCCTCAACCTCTTTAATCATCAAGATAACTGCCTTGCTCCTCTTATTCTCTGCTTCTAGCTCAGTGCCTGGCACATGGTCAGTGCACAAGAACTGGTTGTTGAATTAATGAGCAAGGGTGATAGATTGGTTGACCTCTGGGGAAATAGCTAAGTATAAACCATATGACCACTTGGTGGGGGTGTTGTAGAAGGGATACAGACATCAGCACAGGCCCTTTAATGTGCTCAGCAGTGCTGATTCTTGGTCTTTCTCAGCACTGTGATTTCATAATACTATGTTTAATTCCCACAGTTGTGAAATAGGGAATGTGTTTCCCTTCTTAATCATCAAAAGGCAGAACATTGACCTGAATTGGCTTCTCCACAGGTTTGTATTTCAAGGTCCCATTAAGTCATCCAAGAGAATAGTGAAGTTATATACTGGATTGTTACTGAGAATCATGATTTTGGAGTTAGAGAACGCTTCATTCAAATTTCATATTCATTCCACCTAGAAGCTATAAGATCTCGGACAAGTTACTTCTCTGAGTCTTGATTTCTTCATCCACTAAATGAAGATAGTAACACCTATATAATTGTGTAGATGCGAAGATTAAACAAGACAGTGTATATCAAGCACATAGCACAGTGCTTGCCATTTCCTCACACAATTAATGGCAACCATTATTAACAAAGCTGCAGTACAAGAACTGTGGTGAAATGGGGGATACAGAACATAGAGCCTTGGGTAGAAGAGATACAATGAAGATAAATTTGTTTTTTAAAAAATTGTAATTTATCTAATTTTTTTTTTTTTTTTCTTTTTAAGATGGAGTCTCGCTCTGTAGCCCAGGCTGGAGTACAGTGGTACAATCTCGGCTCACTGCATTCTAATTTCATATAAAAAGTTAATGGGGCCAGGCACGGTGGCTCATGCCTGTAATCCCAGCACTTTGGGAGGCTGAGGCAGGCGGATCACAAGGTCAGGAGTTGGAGACCAGCCTGACCAACATGGTGAAATCCCGTCTCTACTAAAAATACGAAAATTAGCCAGGCATGGTGGTGAGCGCCTATAATCATAGTTACTCAGGAGGGTGAAGCAGAAGAATCTCTTGAACCCGGGAGGCAGAGGTTACAGTGAGCCAAGATCACGCTTCTGCACTCCAGCCTGGGCGACAGAGCGACACTCCATCTCAAAAAATAGTAATAATAATGGGAGGCTGGGCAGGGTGGCTCACGTCTATAATCCCAGCACTTTGGGAGGCTGAGACGAGTGAATCACCTGAGGTCAGGAGTTCAAGACCAGCCTGGCCAACATGGCGAAATCCCATCTCTACAAAAATACAAAAATTAGCCGGGCATGGTGGTGTGTGCCTATAATCCCAGCTACTTGAAAGCTGAGGCGGGAGAATTGCTTGAATCTGGGAGGCAGAGTTGCAGTGAGCTGAGATCGTGCCATTGCACTCCAGCCTGGGTGACAGAGCGAGGCTCCGTCTCAAAAAAAAAAAAAAATAGGGTCTCAGCTGGGCATAGTGGCTCACGCCTGTAATCCCAGTACTTTGGGAGGCCAAGGTGGGCTGATCCCTTGAGGTCAGGAGTTCGAGAACAGCCTGGCCAACATGGTGAAACCTCATCTGTACTAAAAACACAAAAATTAGCTGGATATGTTGGCACATGTCTGTAATCCCAGCTACTCGGGAGGCTGAGGCAGAAGACTTGGTTGAACCTGGGAGGTGGAGGTTGCAGATCACGCCACTGCACTCCAGCCTGGCTGATGAGTGAGACTCTGTCTTAAAAAAATAACAATAAAGAATACATTTGTTATCCGGGATACACTTGTTATAACACTGCAGTGAATACCCTGCCAAAAAAAGGGGGCAGGGGAAGGTCTCACTATGTTGCCCAGGCTGCCCAGGCTGGTCTTGAACCCCTGGGCTCAAGCGAGTCTCCTACCTTAGTCTCCCAAAGTGCTAGGATTACAGGCATGAGCCACCATGCTCAGCCCAGAGTTTTCAATAAATTTTAAAGTATGTTGTTATCAGCTTTATAGCCAGGTCTAACTCAGTACTAAATGTGTAGCAGAAAATCAGTAAATATTGAAGTAGATTACAAGATAATGTGAAGTTTTGTTTTTTTTTTTTTTTGAGATGAAGTTTCACTCTTGTTCCCTTGGCTGGAGTGCAATGGCACAATCTCGGCTCACCGAAACCTCCGTCTCCCAGGTCCAAGCGATTGTCCTGCCTCACCCTCCCGAGTAGCTGGACAGGCATGCGCCACCACACCTGGCTAATTTTTATTTTCAGTAGAGATGGGGTTTCTCCATGTTGGTCAGGCTGATCTTGAACTCCCGAACTCAGATGATCTGCCCGCCTTGGCCTCCCAAAGTGCTGGGATTACAGTCATGAGCCCCTGCACCGGGCTGATATGTGAAGCTTTTATTCACTGCTGCATCCCCAGTGTGTAGAAGAGTGTCTGGCATATGGGAGACACTTTAGCATTTGTTGACTGAATGTTACCACCCTGTTTGGTACTGCCTTGAGCTGGCCAGTGGAACCTGGTGTAACGAACCCTCCTCCCTCTTCTCTCTTTTCATTTGGCCCATTAGCCTGTCTCCTTCAGATGGAGCCTGTGAACTACGAACGAGTGAGAGAATATAGTCAGAAAGTCCTGGAACGACAGCCTGATAATGCCAAGGCCTTGTATCGGGCCGGAGTGGCCTTTTTCCATCTGCAGGACTATGACCAGGCCCGCCACTACCTCCTGGCTGCAGTCAATAGGCAGCCTAAAGGTAAGGGAGAAGGGCTTTGAAATGGTAAAGACAAAATTGTCTTGCTAGGGTGGATCTGTGGAAAGGGGATTTTATTTTACTTTGCCAATGTATTATTTTCAATAAGTAATACATTCACATGGTTGAGAATTCAAACTGAAAAAGTATACGATGAACAGACCTTTTTCTACTCTTATGTTCTTGTCTCCACAGAAAAGCAGTATTATTGGTTTCATGTGTAGGGGGTTGATGCTTAATCAGGCACACACAATATATATGTCGGTATGTCTGTTTCATATATATATGTATGCCTATTTTAATATACATCAATGTGCTTTTATTTATAAGTACATATTTAGGCAGGCTGGGCGGGGTGGCTCACGTCTGTTATCTCAGCACTTGGGGAGGCCAAGGTAGGTGGATCACCTGAGGTCAGGAGTTCGAGACCAGCCTGACCAACATGGAGAAACCCCGTCTCTACTAAAAATACAAAATTAGCTGGGTGTGGTGGCGCATGCCTGTAATCCCAGCTACTTGGGAGGCTGAGGCAGGAGAATTGCTTGAACCCGGGAGGCAGATGTTGTGGTGAGCCGAGATCCTGGGCAACAAGAATGAGACTCTGTCTCAAAAAAAAAAAAGAGTCTTATTTGTCGGGGCTGGGTACCGTGGTTTACGCCTGTAATCCTAGCACTTTGGGAGGCCCAGGCAGGCAGATCACCTGAGGTCAGGATTTCAAGACCGGCCTGGCCAACATGGCGAAACCCATCTCTACTTAAAAAAAAAAATAAATAAATAAATAAATAAATAAAAATACAAAAATTAGGCCGGGCGCGGTGGCTCACGCCTGTAATCCCAGCACTTTGGGAGGCCGAGGCGGGTGGATCACAAGGTCAGGAGATCGAGACCACGGTGAAACCCCGTCTCTACTAAAAATACAAAAAATTAGCCGGGCGCGGTTGTGGGCGCCTGTAGTCCCAGCTACTCGGGAGGCTGAGGCAGGAGAATGGCGTGAACCCGGGAGGCGGAGCTTGCAGTGAGCGGAGATCGCGCCACTGCACTCCAGCCTGGGCGACAGAGCGAGACTCCGTCTCAAAAAAAAAAAAAAAAAAAAAAAAAAAAATACAAAAATTAGCCTGCATGGCCAGACGCAGTGCTCACACCTGTAATCCCAGCCCTTTGGGAGGCCGAGGCGGGCAAATCACGAGGTTAGATCGAGACTATCCTGGCTAACATGGTGAAATCCCGTCTCTACTAAAAATACAAAAAATTAGCCGGGCGTGGTGGTGGGCGCCTATAGTCCCAGCTACTTGGGAGGCTGAGGCAGGAGAATGGTGTGAACCCGGGAGGCGGAGCTTGCAGTGAGCCGAGTTCCTGCCAGTGCACTCCAGCCTGGATGACAGAGGGCGACTCCATCTCAAAAAAAAAAAACAACAAAAAAAACCAGTGTTGTTTTTCAAGTTCTGTTCCTGGTCTTTAAGAGTAATTGGACGCCAGGCGTGGTGGCTCACGTTTGTAATCCCAGCACTTTGGGACCCCGAGGTGGGCGGATAGTGTGAGGCCAGGAGTTCGAGACCATCCTGGCTAACATGATGAAACCCTGTCTCTAGTAAAAATACAAAAAATTGGCCGGGCGCGGTGGCTCAAGCCTGTAATCCCAGCACTTTGGGAGGCCGAGACGGGCGGATCACGAGGTCAGGAGATCGAGACCATCCTGGCTAACACGGTGAAACCCCGTCTCTACTAAAAAAATACAAAAAACTAGCCGGGTGTGGTGGCGGCGCCTGTAGTCCCAGCTACTCGGGAGGCTGAGGCAGGAGAATGGCGTGAACCCGGGAGGCGGAGCTTGCAGTGAGCTGAGATCCGGCCACTGCACTCCAGCCTGGGCGGCAGAGCGAGACTCCGTCTCCAAAAAAAAAAAAAATACAAAAAATTAACCGGGCGTGGTGGCAGGTGCCTGTAGTCCCAGCTACTTGGGAGGCTGAGGCAGGAGAATGGCATGAACCCAGAAGGCGGAGCTTGCAGTGAGCTGAGATAACACCACTGCACTCCAGCCTGGGTGACAGAGGGAGACTCCATCTCAAAAAAAAAATTAAAAAACCCACACACACACACACACACACACACAATAACAACAAAACCAGTGATTGGAATAGGATGTGTGAATGCCAACAGATCCACCACTTTTATCTGTTAGCTCAGCTAACCCCAGGTGTGACCTAGAAAAAGGGCAGTCCTGCTGAGAGAGAATTTGGGACTTTGTTTCCAAGGCAAAAAGGATATTTTGAGGCAGATGAGAGACTCATTCCTGTGTTGGTTGGTTGAGCACTGAAAATTGTCTCCTTTTTGCATTCTGGCTTACAATAGCCACAGGATACTAGTAGCAGAGTCCCCAAATGTATAGCAGTGCAGTAAAATCTCACTAATCTAAATGAATGAGAAAGGCATTAATTATGAATTAATAAAGATATAAAATATAAGCCATTTGTTCATGTTTCTCACCTTCAAGTACATAAATTAACCTGCCATCTTTACGAATAGTATCTTTAGAGGCTTTATTTTAATAATTGCTTCATCAGTCTTGCTTTTATTATGAAATTAGCAACCAGTGGCCAGGCGTGGTGACTCACACCTGTAATCCCAGCACTTTGGGAGGCCAGGGCGGGTGGATTACGAGGTTAGGAGTTCCAGACCAGCCTGGCCAACATGGTGGAACCCCGTCTCTACTAAAAATACAAAAGTTAGCCGGGCATGGTGGCGCACACCTGTAGTCTCAGCTATTCGGGAGGCTAAGGCAGGAGAATCGGTTGAACCCAGAAGGTGGAGGTTGCAGTAAGTGGAGATCGCGTGCCACTGCACTCCAGCCTGGGTGACAGAGTGAGACTCTGTCTCAAAAATAAATAAATAAATAAATAAATAAATAAATATTAACAACCAGTCCAGCCCGGGACACAGATTGTTTTTTCAATTCCAAATGTTATTAATTAACGAGATTTACTGTTGCATAGAATGGTTGCGATATATTCAGATCTTGGAGAGATTTAAAAATGGGAGCATGTTAACATTGTTTCTTGCCACAGGTATGATTATGGTCTTAACTGACTCTGTTTCTAATTGCTTCTCCATCATCTTCCAAGATGCCAACGTCCGGCGGTACCTCCAGCTGACACAGTCAGAACTCAGCAGCTACCATAGAAAAGAGAAGCAGCTCTACCTGGGCATGTTTGGTTAACAAAGAAGAAAGATGCTTCTCCAGTTGAACTTAGGTGGACCATTAAACATGCATGAAGGAGAAACCTGAGCCTCAGCAAGATAAATTAACCCTATACCTCTGACCCAGGTGGATTTTTGTTTCCAGTTCTGCACAAACTTTACTACTTAGACAGTTTGAGTCTTTTTCTGTCTATGCTGTTTATTTCTATAGCGTTCAATACATGTTATTGTTGGGGATATTTGCCTTGAGAAATATAATCAGAAAATATTCATCAGCTGTGGGTGGAATTAATCGTATCTCTGGCATAGATTTTTCATGACAGTGTTGTTAAATGTACTTATATACAGAGGCGATGGCTTGCAGAGGATGACATAGTAAGGATAGGCAGAAAGAAGTGTCTTCCTTTATTTTTTCAGAAGCCCAAAGCAAAATGGGAAATATGGCCGGGCACTGTGGCTCATGCCTGTAATCCCAGCACATTGGGAGGCCGAGGCAGGCAAATCACGAGGTCAGGAGATGGAGAACATCCTAGCTAACACGGTGAAACCCCATCTCTACTAAAAATACAAAAAATTAGCCGGGCATGGTGGCGGGCGCCTGTAGTCCCAGCTACTCAGGAGGCTGAGGCAGGAGAATGGCATGAACCCAGGAGGCGGAGCTTGCAGTGAGCCGAGATCGCACCATTGCACTCCAGCCTGAGTGACAGAGCAAGACTCCGTCTCAAAAAAAAAAAAAAAATGATGCAAAGATTAGCTGGACCTGGTGGTGGTCACCTGTAGTCCCAGCTATTCTGGAGGCTGAGGTGGGAGGATTGCTTGAGTCTGGGGGACAAAGGTTGCAGTGAGCCAAGATTCTGACAGCACTCCAGCCTGGGCGACAGAGTGACATGTCTCAATAAATAGCCCAAATGTATTAAAGTAACTTTTTGTTGTTTGAGACAGTCTCACTCTGTCGCCCAGGCTGGAGTACAGTGCCATCTTGGCTCACTGCAGCCTCTGCCTGTTCCCAGGTTCAAGTGATTCTCGTGTCTGAGCCACCCAAGCAGCTGGGATTACAGGCATGTGCCTCCATGCCTGGCCAATTTTTTTGTATTTCCTTTTTAGTAGAGACATAGTTTTGCCGTGTTGGCCAGGCTGGTCTTGAACTCCTGGCCTCAAATGATCCGCCCACCTCGGGCTCCCAAAATGCTGGGATTACAGGTGTGAGCCACTACACCCGGCCAAAAGTAACCATTTTGTTTAAACTAATTTTTTTTTCTTTTCATTGTTTTTTTTTTGAGATGGAGTTTCGCACTTGTTGCCCAGACTGGAGTGCAGTGGCGCGATCTCGGCTCACTGCAACCCCTGCCTCCCGGGTTCAAGCGATTCTCCTGCCTCAGCTGCCCAAGTAGCTGGGATGGATGACAAGCGGCCGCCACCACGCTCAGCTAAATTTTTGTATTTTTAGTAGAGATGGGGTTTCGCCATGTTGGCCAGGCTTGTCGCGAACTCCTGACCTCAGGTGATCCACCCGCCTCGGCCTCCCAAAGTGCTGGGATTATAGGCGTGAGCCACCGCGCCCGGCTTTTCTTTTTCTTTTAATGTTATGTTCCAGTAAGCAGAGATCACATTCCACTGTACTCTAGTCTGGGCAACAAGAGCAAAACTCCATCTCAAACAAAAAATAAAAAAAGAGAAACAGTGAGTAAGGGCTTTTCTTGCTTAGTGCCTTTTAAGCACCTGATAGAACTCTGGAAACTGTGTTGGACTTGGAGGCAGGTTGCAGTATGGTGCAGTCCTGGCTCAGTAGGAGGTTCCATCAACCAGGAGCCCCTTTGTGATTTTGTTTCTGTTTTTTCATGGTGGATAATGTCTATGATGTGGGCACCACATAGATGAGACTATATAGCACGGCCTCTACCTTTATAAGTGGTGGCAATAAGCATGTGATTAACCATCATATAACCACAGAGCAAACAGATTTCAGGGAAAAAAAATTCACTTTAGTCCTTTATCAGTAACACCCCCTTTCTCAATGGGCTAGACTTCTCTTTGTTCTTCCCTATACCTTTAAATAATACAACCATCAGCTTACAAGAAAAACTTACTAAAGTTCAACGACAGGAGAGGAATGGTGGCTCACCCTTGTAATCCCAGCAATTTGGGAGGCCGAGGTGGGTGGATCACCTGAGGTCAGGAGTTTGAGACTGGCCTGACTGACATGATGAAACCCCCATCTCTACTAAAGAAAAATACAGTATTAGCCAGGTGTAGTGGCACATGCCTGTAACCCCAGCTACTCAGGAGGCTGAGGCAGGAGAATCATTTGAGCCCAGGAGGTGGAGGTTGCAATGAGCCGAGGTCATGCCATTACACTCCAGCCTGGTCAACCAGAGCGAAACTCTGTCTCAGTCAATCAATCAGTAAAGCCCAAGGACAGAACAAACAAGTAAAATATCTTATCCCTCTTCCCAGCTGCTTAAATTGCTAGGCCTGGGTTTATTGACAAAACATCGTCAGGATTGCATGTTTTATTTGCTTTACAATGGTTTTGTGTTCTCGTTTCCTTTTTATTTCAAAGACTTAATGTTATAGTAAGCTATCTTCTGCATCAATGAGGAAAAATAAAACTGATATTTAAAATGCATTTTAGAAACTTGTTGCACTAATCCTTTTATTAGCGCTGCTAAGAGATAGCACAGGGTCAGGCTTACATTTGTGTTTTTATTGAGAAGCCCAGCTCCTAATGAAAATCTTCATGAACAGGGAATGACAAAGGCAGTCTGATGCACGTCTTGAGGACAACCTCAAGGTCCCGAGGGAACCAGCCAGAGAGTGCCTCAATCTCTGTATTCAGAAGTTTGTGGAAGGAGAGGCTGCTCACTTTATCAATCCTTGTTTCCACACAGGAGTTGAAGATTTTGAATGAAGAAAAAACATTCATGGTGAATGTGAAGGATTATACACCTTGGCACATGAGGGACAGTGTTTCCCAAACTCATACCCACCACCTTCACAATGTTGCCAGAACCACTGCCTGTACTAATATATATGGATATGTGTGGAAATACATATATATATGTATGTATTTACATATATATGTGTGTGTGTGCATATATATATATATATATATATATGTGTATATATATATATATATATATTTTTTTTTTAATTTTTAACACAATCTGGCTCTGTCGCCCAGGCTGGAGTGCAATAGCATGATCTCGGCTCACTGCAACCTCCACATCCCAGGTTCAAGAAATTCTCCTGCCTCAGCCTTCCAAGTAGTGGGATTACAGGCATACACCACCATGCCTGGCTAAATTTTTTTGTATTTTTAGTAGATACGGGGTTTCACCATGTTGGTCAGGCTGGTTTCAAACTCCTGACCTCAGGTGATCTACCCACCTCGGTCTCCCAAAGTGCTGGGATTATAGGCGTGAGCCACGAAGCCCAGGCTGTTTTTTTGTTTTTTTTTTTTTTGAGACGGAGTCTCGTTCTGTTGCCAGGCTAGAGTGCAGTGGTGCAATCTCAGCTCATTGCAACCTCTGCCTCCTGGATTCAAGAGATTCTCCTGTGTCAGCCTCCCAAGTAGCTGGGACTACAGGTACCCACCACCATGTCCGTCTAATTTTTTTATTTTTAGTAGAGATGAGGTTTCACCATCTTGGCCAGGCTAGTCTTGAACTCCTGACCTTGTGATCCACCTGCCTTGGCCTCTCAAAGTGCTGGGATTACAGGTGAGAGCCACCGTGCCTGGCCTGTTTTTTTGTGTGTGTGTATTTTTTTGTTTTTTTTTGAGATGGAGTCTCGCTATGTTCCCCAGGCTGGAATGCAGTGGCGCAATCTTGGCTCGCTACAACCTCTGCCTCCCGGGTTCAAGCAATTCTCCTGCCTCAGCCCCCAAGCAAGTAGATGGGACCGCAAGTGTGTGTACGCCACCACGCCTGGCTAATTTTTGTATTTTTAGTAGAGACAGGGTTTCACCATCTTCGCCAGGCTAGTCTTGAATTCCTGACCTCCCAGTAATCTGCCGGCCTTGGCCTCCCAGAGTGCTGGAATTACAGGTGTGAGGTACCATTCCTGGCCTCAAGCGGAGGTTTGATAACTGCCAAAAGGAGGATTCAGTGTTAGACTAGAAATTAGATGAGCTGATCCCCAGGAGCCTATGGTTCCCTAAATCCATGAATGGGAGCATTAAGACCGGTGGAAATGAGAAAGAATTCATTGATCACATCTCTACAAATTGGCATAAACTGTTCCTAGCATTCAGCAGATAAACTAAGGCCACAGGCTGGGCACGGTGGCTTATGCCTGTAATCCCAGCCCCCACTGCAATCCAGCTTGGATGACAGAGGGAGACTCCGTCTAAAAAAAAACTTCAACTAAAAAAAATAACAACAGGCCGGGTGCAGTGGCTCAAGCCTGTAATCCCAGCACTTTGGGAGGCCGAGACGGGCGGATCACGAGGTCAGGAGATCGAGACCATCCTGGCTAACACGGTGAAACCCTGTCTCTACTAAAAAAATACAAAAAACTAGCTGGGCGTGGTGGAGGGCGCCTGTAGTCCCAGCTACTTGGGAAGCTGAGGCAGGAGAATGGCGTGAACCCGGGAGGCGGAGCTTGCAGCGAGTTGAGATCCGGCCACTGCACTCCAGTCTGGGCGACAGAGCGAGACTGTCTCAAATAAAAAAATAATAATAATAATAAATGAGGCCGGGCCTGGTGGCTCACCCTTGTAATCCCAGCACTTTGGGAGGCCAAGGCGGGGCTGATCACCTGAGGTCGGGAGTTCGAGACCAGCCTGACCAACATGGAGAAAGCCTGTCTCTACTAAAAATACAAAAAAAATTAGCGGGGCGTGGTGGCACAGCCTGTAATTCCAGCTATTAGGGAGGCTGAGGTAGGAGAATCGCTTGAACCCAAGAGGTGGAGGTTGCAGTGAGCTGAGATTGCGCTGAGCCAAGATCGTGCCATTGTACTCCAGCCTGGGCAACAAGACTGAAACTCCGTCAAAAAATAACAACAATAATGAGACCACAGTGGCTGTAACTGTGATAGCTGCTGCTTTACAAATCTTGCAGGCTGGGCATGATGGCTCATGCCTGAATCCCAGCACTTTGGGAGGCCAAAGAAGTCGTGATAGTACCACTGCACTCCAGCCTCGGCAACAGGGAGACCTTGTCTCAAAAATAAATAAATAAATAAAAATATTGCAAATACCTGACTGCCACCTGCAAGAAAGCATGCACTTTATGCTGGATATTGAAAGCAAATGCTTGCGCCTCAGGAGAATCTCACCAGGAACAGAGCCTCTTTAGCTAAGTAGTGCATGTGACCACAACTGTCTACACATATAGACCCTTTATTATGCCTTGATTTTAAGAAATGATGTTCTGAGACAACCAGTTTTTTTTTTCCTGCTTTGTGTTTCTGTTGAAATCGAGATATACAGACTGTAAAATCCACCCTTTTAAGGGTAACTGATTCATAAAGGCATTTTGATTTGATATTTACTCTAGGGAAGACTTGAAAAGGTGTTCCACCCAGCTAGAATAGCTTTTATTGTATTTATTTATATCTTGCCTTGTTTCATCAAGGAATTAAAGCAGTAAGGTGGCCAGGCGCGGTAGCTCAAGCCTGTAATCCCAGCACTTTGGGAGGCCGAGACGGGCAGATCACAAGGTCAGGAGATCGAGACCATCCTGGCTAACACGGTGAAACCCCGTCTCTACTAAAAAATACAAAAAACTAGCCAGGCGAGGTGGCGGGCGCCTGTAGTCCCAGCTACTCCGGAGGCTGAGGCAGGAGAATGGCGTGAACCCGGGAGGCGGAGCTTGCAGTGAGCTGAAATCCGGCCACTGCACTCCAGCCTGGGTGACAGAGCGAAACTCCGTCTCAAAAAAAAAAAAAAAAAAAAAAAAAAGCAGTAAGGTACTTGCATAAATAAAATTAGAAGCCATTTGAAAGATAAGCTAGAAGGTTACTTCAACACAAAGAATGTGAAAGAACGTAGAATTCACTGAGCAGAAAAATGTTAACCATCTTTTGCTTCTCATATGTCCTAGTTAAGGAGCTTTCTTGGCCGGGCGCGGTGGCTCAAGCCTGTAATCCCAGCACTTTGGGAGGCCGAGGCGGGCGGATCACGAGGTCAGGAGATCGAGACCATCCTGGCTAACACGGTGAAACCCCGTCTCTACTAAAAATACAAAAAACTAGCTGGGCGCGGTGGCGGGCGCCTGTAGTCCCAGCTACTCGGAGGCTGAGGCGGGAGAATGGCGTGCGGAGCTTGCAGTGAGCTGAGATCCGACCACTGCACTCCAGCCTGGGTGACAGAGCAAGACTCCGTCTCAAAAAAAAAAAAAAAAAAAAAAGGAGCTTTCTTTAGCCACATCACTGCTCACCTTTCTCTCCTTCCTGTAACTCAAAAATAGTCACTTGCTGGTAAGGGTTCACAGTGCTGAATATGACACCGACTCAAAAAGACAGAAAGAAAATTCAGAATATTTACTTGTTATTTTCCCCCTTTTCCTTTTTTTTTGAGATGGAGTCTCGCAATGTCACCTGGGGTTAGAGTGCAATGGTGCGATCTCGGCTCACTGCAACCTCTGCCTCCCGGGTTCAAGCAATTCTCCTGCCTCAGCCTCCCGAGTAGCTGAGATTACAGGCGCCCACCACCACGCCCAGCTAATTTTTTGTAAAGATGGCGTTTCACTATGTTGACCAGGTTGGTCTCGAACTCCTGACCTCGTTGATCCGCCTGCCTCAGGCTCCCAAAATGCTGGGAGTACAGGCGTAAGCCACCGCGCCCGGCCTATTTCTGTTTTCCTTCCTGCTTTATTTACACTCACGTCCTTATGTACCAAGGAAAGGCTTGTAGGGAAACCTCTAGACCCTCATACAGCACAGGTGGGGCCAGACTCCTCACATATTCCTAGAGCTCTTTTTTGCCCCCATCCAATGATGGCACCCCAAACTGCCATTTCTTTGCTATCTCCACTGTCAGTAACCACCCGCGTGACCTTAGGTGAGTAACCTAAACCTCCCTAGACTGTTGTCGTCACACTTTTCAAGTGAGGGAGTTGGACTCCATGAACTGTAAGATCCTCTCATCCTGAGTTTCTTACTTTAGGTTTTGCAAGCACCCATCATTGTGACAGCACCTCAGACCCTCAACCTCCCGCCAATAGTCAGCCACCACGGGCCTTAGTGTTGCCTGCCTTTCAGTGTCTCATCTTCGGAGAATTCAATTCATATCTACAACTTGCAGGCACAAGTTTCAAATCATCAATACAGTACCCATTGTATCAACAAAAGGTCTTTCGGTGGGGAAAGCAGAGGTAACAAGGGAACAAAGCCAAATATGCAAAAGGACAAAAAAAGAAAACAACTTATGGTTCTTGGTTAACTATGTTCAACTATTTATTAATTATTTTATAGTGACGGGAGGCCTCACTATGTTGCCCAGGCTAATCTGTAACTCCTAGCCACAAGGGATCCCTCACTTCGGCCTCCCAAAGTGCTGGGAGAATAGGCATGAGCCACCGCAACAGCCCTTCAAACATGTTTTTTTTTTTTCACTGCAACCTCTGCCTCCTGGGTTCAAGCAATTCTCCTACCTCAGCCTCCTAAGTAGCTGGGATTACAGGCACCTGCCACCAAGCCTGGATAATTTTTCTTTTATTTTTGAGACGGAGTTTCGGTCTTGTCGCCCAGGCTGAAGTGCAGTGGCGCAATCTCGGCTCACTGCAACCTCCACTTCCCAGGTTCAAATGATTCTCCTGCCTCAGCCTCCCAGGTAACTGGGATTACAGGTGCCCACCACCACTCCTGGCTAATAGTTGTAGTTTTAGTAGAGACAGGGTTTCACCATGTTGGCCAGTCTGGTCTTGAACTCCTGATCTCAAGTGATCCGCCCGCATCAGCCTCCCAAAGTGCTGTAATTACAGGAGTGAGCCATCGTACCTAGACAATTTTTTTGTGTTTTTAGTAGAGATGGGGTTTCACCATGTTGGGCAGGCTGGTCACCTCGCAAGTGTTGGTATTACAGGCGTGAGCCACTGCACCTGGACGAAACAATGTTTTTAACCAGTATAGCAGGCAGGGTGTTTGCAGTCGCAAGCCAGGTTCAAATGCTGGCTTCCCCTTAATTAGCCTCTGTGACCCTGAACAAGTTAACTTTGATTTCTAAGTCTCAAGTTTGTTTATGAACAACAACAAACAAAACAGGAGGTGGACCCTATACGTCCTGACGTTGAGGATTAAATGAGTATTTATACGAAATGTCTGATACAGCCCAGAAGACAGGAGCTCAACTGCAATAATAAATCATAATTTTATAAGCTTCCTTAATTTGTATACTTCTCTTAAGTAAAGGCTATATCACCCTCTGCTTGTCCCACTTTTTCTCCTCATGAGCAATCTGACCTCTACCCCTATCCCAAGTACAGATGTGACATTCCAAAAAGAACTGAAGGAGAGGTATGAAAGCATGCCGGTTTTTAGAAGAAATCAGCCAACACCAGTTCAAAGAAATACTTTCATTCCTAGCTTTATGTTCCAGAACATACAGTGAGAAGCGATTATACCTCAGGAAAATTCCCAGTGCCCTTGGAGAGAGCTGTCATATCTCTGCCCCACAGAGTCCTGCTTATCTGGCTGGGCAAAGAAAAGGGTAGGAGGCCGGGCACAGTGGCTCATGCCTGTAATCCCGGCACTTTGGAAGGTCGAGGTGAGCGATCACCTGGGGTCAGGAGTTCGAGACCAGCCTGGCCAACATGGTGAAACCCCGTCTCTACTAAAAACGCAAGAATTAGCTGGGCATGGTGGTGCGTTCCTGTAATCCCAGCTACTCAAGAGGCTGAGTTAGGAGAATCGCTTGAACCCAGGAGGCAGAGGTTGCAGTGAGCTGAAATTGCCACTGCACTCCAGCCTGAGCGACAGAGCAAGACTGTCTCAAAAAAAAAAAGCAGCCGGGTGCGGTGGCTCATGCCTGTAATCCCAGCACTTTGGGAGGCCGAGACGGGCGGATCACGAGGTCAGGAGATCGAGACCATCCTGGCTAACACGGCGAAACCCCCATCTCTACTAAAAATAAAAAAAATTAGCCGGGCATGGTGATGGCCACCTGTAGTCCCAGCTACTTGGGAGGCTGAGGCAGGAGAACAGCGTGAACCCAGAAGGCTGAACTTGCAGTGAGCCGAGATCACGCCACTGCACTCCAACCTGGGTGACAGAGTGAGACTCCGTCTCAAAAAACTAAAAACTAAAAAAAAAAAAAACAGAAAAGGGTAGGAACTTTCAGCCTGGGCAGAACCTTTATTCTTGTCACCGAGCAGGGGTGATGAGATGCCACCAACCTTCTGAGCTGCCATCTAAGGATGGTAAGAGCAGCCTAGCGTCAGCTCATGCTCCTTAGATGTTAGTTTTTGGGGCCAAGTACAAAATCTTTGGGTGGCCCTCCACCACTGCTGCTCTGTCTGTCTGCTGTTGGAGAGCCAGGGAGAGGTTGCACCCCTAGAAGGGGTCCCACTTCTGGATCCGGTTTGCTGCGTTTGGCCAGGTCCTCGTTGTGAGCCTTGCGGATGTGGCGGTAGAGGTCCCCTGACTGTGTGTAGCTCCGCAGGCAGTAGCGGCACTCGTAGGGTCGCTCACGTGTGTGCACCGTGGCATGTCGCCGTAGTGTGTAAGAGCATGAGAAGGTCTTCCCACATGTCTTGCAGGTGGGAACATCCTCAGTAAAAACCCCAAAGCTTCCTGGACCTGCTTCGTACTCAGAAGGCAGGTAAAGTGGCTCATGCACGGATGCGGGCGCAGGCAGGGGTGAGGTCACCAGTCCTCGATGATACTGCCCTGCACCTGGCAGCAGATGGTAGGGTAGATGAGGGTCTGAAGGCAGGAAGTGGTCACTTGGCCCCACCTCCTCCAGTCCTGCTGCCCCTGAGTCTTCAAAAGCCTCTGGCTGGGAGGGCTGTCCCCCATACACTGCTCCTCCAGGTGGGAACACTCTCTCAGGATCCTGAGGCTGTTCATCTGACACATCGGTCTCTTCATCAGAGATCACAATAGCTTCAACTTTCACCTGGACCAGTTCAGCTTCAGCTGGGGCTGGAGCCTGGGATGGAACTGGGGCTGAGACAGGGGCTGGAGCTGAGCTGGGGGCTGAGGCTGGGGTATAGAAGCCTTGCAGTGGTCCTCCAGGATCCCTTGGTTCCACCACCCTCAGACTCTCAGGACCCACATCAAGAGTTGGCAGTGACTCCAATGAAACTGCTGGGATGCCAGAAGAGTAGTAGTTTGCAGGAATGCTCTCAGTGGAGCTACTAGGGCTGGCAAGAGAGACATCAGCCACCGGTGGAGGAGGTGCCCGCAGATGTGGTGCGTCAACCTCCATGCCAGGCTGTGTAGTGTCAGCCCCATTGGACATTGGTGGCTCATCTGGGGGACGGACAGTAGGTGAGGGAGCAGCAGAGCCTTTCCATTCCCCTTTGCCCCAATGGCCTGATGTCTCAGCAGATGACAACGAAGGCTGGGGGCCACGGGCAGTACTGGACAAAAACTCCAAACTAGGAGGCTGTGAGTTGGTTTCTTCCTCCTTCTTGGTACTGTCTGCCTCTGCCAGGGCCCGGGCTTGAAGCCGCCGCTTACACACCTTGACGATGTCATTCATGTGCAAGTAGCTGGCAGCTGCCAGCACATCCTCCACAGGGGTATCCCCTCTCAGGGCCAGCTGGCCAGCATACATAAAGTCCAGAAGAAGCCCAAAGGCTGGGGCCGTGACAATTTCATTGTGAATACACACCAGATCCCTCTTGTCCAATTCCCGCTCCTTGTAGAAAAGCTGGAAGAATGGGCTGCAGGAGGCCAGCACAGCCCGATGGGCCAAGAACTGGGTACTACCCACCATCACGGTGCAGTCACAAAGGAAACCCTGGGACCGCTGCTCCCGGAGGCTCTGCAGCAGCTGCTGACTGTGTTCTGGGAACTCCATAGTACCCCACGAAGGAAAGGGGGCCCAAAAAAGGTCCCCACCAGTGGCTCCCTGAGAAAAAAGGACAGTGGGTTAAGACAGGTAACCTCCCCAGCAACCTTATCAGCCCTTAACTATCACTTCCCACCCCAAAACAATCGCTTAAGTTACTGCCCTCCTTTCTCCTAGGTCACACCCAAAGCTCTCCCATAAGCTCCGCCCACCTCGGCCTAACCTTAGAACAGGCCCCACCCCCACCAATAAGCCCTGCCCCCGGAAGTCCCGCCCCTTAGCCACCCTCCGCTTCCTTGATGCCCACCCGGTAGCTTCCAACGGCTCCACGAAGTAGGGATCTTTTTCGCTCCCAGGCCTTGCCAGGCGATGCTTCGACGCCCCACTTCGGAAATTCCCTAAGCATCTCCCTCTCGCATTCCAGGGGCTAAGGACTCCCAGGGTGGGAACTAGCAGAGAAAGCTGATCCCTCACCCACCACCGAGCAGCCACAGGGCGAGCTCCGCCCCTTCCCACCTTCTCAGTTTTAATTGGCTTAAAATTGCCCTCCCCTGTCACGGATTGGTCCGCTTTCCACTAACCAGCCTCCCTCTAACGGCCATCTGCAATTGGGTGCTCGCCGCCATCGCGTTTACAGTCAGGCGTTGGATTGGGTGGCGCTTCTGTCCTCAACTTTTCCTCCTTGTCCCGCCTTCCTTGCTTCCGAGCTCTCAGGATTGGCTGAGCTTCTTCTACCTAATCCCGCAGGCAGGAGGTGCCCGGCACCGAGTCGCTGAATGCGGCGCTCTCCTGGGAAGGCCAGAGTTTGGGAACCCTGCAGTGTCGGACCTGAGCTGACAGCATGCCACTCCCGCTACAGGCTGACAGAGAATAAGAGAACCAGCTAGGCCAGGCGCAGTGCTTCACGCCTGTAATCCCAGGACTCTGGGAGGCCGAGACGGGCAGATCACTTGAGGTCAGGAGTTCAAGAGCAGCCTGGCCAACATAGTGAAACCCCATCTCTACTAAAAATACAAAAATCATCTGGGCATGGTGGCGCATACCTGAAATCCCAGCTACTTGGGAGGCTGAGGCAGGAGAATCTCTTGAACCCAGGAGGCAGAGGTTGCAGTGAGCCAAGATAGCGCCACTGCACTCCAGCCTGGGAGACAGAGCAAAACTCCATCTAAAAAAAAAAAAAAAAAAAAAAAAATCCAAGATGACCTACTGCTCCACTCCTCCAAACTAAGGTTCCGGGGCTCCCGGCTCATCTTACGGTCAATTTATAGTTGAGAGGATAGAGTGTTCTTTGTTTCCAGAGCGTGCTGGGCAGGTGCTGGTAGGAAGGGGTGAGAATGGGGTCAGGGCCATAAAATGTCCCAGGACAGGAGAGAAGAAGCAAAAACCGCGTCTACTTCTGAAGGAATATTTGAGAGTCCCTACACAACTAGAGGAAAAGGCTGTAAGTTGGGAGTCAGTGATAACTGCCCTGTCTGACCCAGGCAGTGTTACTAGAGGAGTAAACTCGGTGCCCTAATCCTCACTTCTTCACCCACCACTCTAAGCATCTCTACCTTATTCTGCCGTCAGGGCCTCCAATCAGACCTAACCAGAATTAGGGAGAGTTTCTATGCAACAAACTTGTGCTAGATACATGCAGGGTATGTTGGCCTTAGCTTGAGATCATGCCTCTTCAAGACACTGTGTTCATTCTTTTTTTCTTTTTTTTTTTGAGACAGAGTCTTGCTCTGTGCCCCAGGCTGGAGTGCAGTGGCCCGATCTCGGCTCACTGCAAGCTCCGCCCCCCCCCCCCTCCCCCGGGTTCACGCCATTCTCCTGCCTCAGCCTCCCAAGTAGCTGGGACTACAGGCGCCCGCCACCTCGCCCGGCTAATTTTCTTGTATTTTTAGTAGAGACGGGGTTTCACCGTGTTAGCCAGGATGGTCTCGATCTCCTGACCTCGTGATCCGCCCGTCTCGGCCTCCCAAAGTGCTGGGATTACAGGCTTGAGCCACCGCGCCCGGCCGACACTGTGTTCATTCTTACAAGCCATACAATATTTGCTGTATAGGAATTAAAACTAAGAAATGGGCCGGGCACAGTGGCTTACTCTGGTAATCCCAGCACTTTAGGAGTGCAAGGCGGGAAGATCACCTGAGGTCGGGAGTTCGAGACCAGCCTGACCAACATGGAGAAACCCCGTCTCTATTAAAAGTACAAAAATTAGCAGGGTGTAGTGGCGCATGTCTGTAATCTCAGCTACTTGGGAGGCTGAGGCAGGAGAATCGCTTGAACTTGGGGGGCGGAGGTTGTAGTGAGCCAAGATCGCCGTTGCACTCCAGCCTGGGCAATGAGCGAAATTCCATCTCAAAAAGAATAAATAAATAATAATAATAACAATACAAAAATTAGCTGGGTGTGGCGGTGGGCACCTATAATCCCAGCTACTTGGGAGGCTGAGGCAGGAGAATCCGTCTCAAAAAAAAAAAAAAAATATATATATATATATATATACACACACACACACACACACACACATATACACATATATATACACACACACATACATATATATATATATATGTTGTAAATAGAGACGCGGGACTCTCTATGTTGCCCAGGCTGGTCTCAAACTCCTGGGCTCAAGTGATCCCCCCAGCTTGGCCTCCCAAAATGCTGAGATTACAGGTGTCAACCACCAAGTCTAACCTTTTTAATTTTTAATTTAAGTTTCATTTATTTTTCTTCTTTTGTGTCTTGCTCTGTCGCCCAGGCTGGAGTACAGTGGGGTGATCTTGTCTCACTGCAATTCTGATCCCTCAGGTGATCCACCCACCTCAGCCTCTCAAAGTGTTGTGATTACAGGCATGAGCCACGTCGCCTGGTCTCATATATATGTATATTTTTTGTTTGTTTTGTTTTGAGACAGTGTCTGCTCAGTTGCCTAGGCTGGAGTGCAGTGGGTGATCTTGGCTCAATGCAAGCTCCGCCTTCTGGGTTCACGCTTCTCCTGCGTTAGCCTCCTGAGTAGCTGGGACTACAGGTGCCGGACAGCACGCCTGGCTAATTTTTTTTTGTATTTTTAGTAGAGACGGGGTTTCACCGTGTTAGCCAGGATGGTCTCGATCTCCTCACCTCGTGATCTGCCCACCTCTGCCTCCCAAAGTGCTGGGATTACAGGCGTGCGCCACCGCACCCGGCTAATTTTGTATTTCTAGTAGAGACAAGGTTTCTCCATGTTGGTCAGGCTGGTCTGGAACTCCCAACCTCAGGTGATCCGCCCATCTCGGCCTCCGAAAGTGTTGGGATTACAGGTGTCAGCCACCACGCCCAGCATATATATTTTAAATAAGAGATGGAAAATAACTATTTACCAAAATCAATAAATGACGCAAGAATAATGGCATTGTTTTACAGGGGGGTTGGGGGAGACACTGTTTTTCTCTCCTCTCACACCACCACAACAATCAACAAAGAAGGCTTCTGTGTGACCAAATGTGTTGGTTTTTTTCCCCCGTCCACAAGCAAGCAAGCAATTCCAGTTGGGTGTCCCTCTTGTTTAATGCCAACACTGTCTACCTGGAGATAACCTCAGATCTCAAAGGTTTAGGGCGCAGCTCCCAAGACCGCCCTCCCCACCCGCCCCCCAGTACTAGTTTCTTTTCGTTCCTTTTGTTTTCTTTTCTTTTCCTTCCTTTCCTTTTATTTTCCTTTCTTTGTCTCTTTCTTTCTCTCTCTCTTTTCCCCTTTTTTTCTTCTTTCTCTCTCTTGTCTCTCTCTTTCCCCCTGCCTCCCTCCCTCCCTTCCTGTTTTTTTAAAATCAAATGACTGTTTACCAGACATGGCCCCTGACTTCTGATGCCAGTCAAAAGCCCCAGGCTGTTTTACCTGTGCCTCTGATTGACCAACTGTAAATCTAGGCCCCCACAACTCTACTTGGGCTTGGTTAACTTACTAGGGTGGCTCACAGAAATCAGGGAAACACTTACTTACGTTTACTGGCTTATTATAGAGGCTATTTCAAAGGATGCAGATGAAGAGGTGGCTAGGGTGAGGTATGGGGGAAGGAATGTGGAGCTTCCGAGCCCTCTTCCGGTGTGCCACCTTCCAGGAACCTCCAGGTGTTCAGCTATGTGGAAGCTCTGAACCCAGTCCTTTTGGATTTTTGTGGATGCTTCATTATGTAAGCATGACTGCTGAAACCATTAGCCACTGGTGATCAACTAAACAGTTCAGCACCCGCTCCACTCCCCAGAAGTTGGGGGTGGGCTGAAAGCCCCAACCTTCCAATCATGCCCAGCTGTTTCTAGTGACCAACCCCCCACCCGGAAGCTACCTAGGGCCTGGCAGCCATCAGTTAATCATTAGCATACCAAAAAAATCGCTTTAGAGATTTAGGAGTTGTATGCCAGAAAATGGGGTCAAAGAAATGTATATTTCACAATATCACACTGTTTCAGTAGGAGACAGCTCGACTTTCACATCTGCTTCTGTTAGCTATTAGGATATATTGTATTGATTGAAACACATGAAGAAAATTTGGTCTCACACAGACACGTAACTAGAAGAGTACTTCACCAGTCCCTGAAAGGTTCTTTCTAGGACCACAATTTCAGAATTGCTGTTCTGAGCTTTCAGGCTCTACATGTACCCACTTTGAGGAGCAGACACAACAGTCCTTTTCATTGCTTTGGTGTCTTTTTTATCCAAAGTTTCAGTCTCAGGCAGTAGAGTGTACAGTAGTGAAGAATGCAACTTTCCCAGGTGCGAGGGCTCACACCTATAATCCCAACACTTTGGGAAACCAAAGCAAGAGGATTACTTGAGGCCAGAAGTTCAAGACCAGCCTGGTCAACAGAGTAAGACCCATATCTCTGCAAAAACTAAAAAAATTACCCGCACATGGTGACCCACACCTGTAGCTGGGGAATGCAATGAGCACTCCAGCCTGGCAGCCTGGGTGACAGAATGAGACCCTTTCTCAAGAAAAAAAAGGGGGTGGTGCTGGGCGCAGTGGCTCAGGCCTGTAATCCCAGCATTTTGGGAGGCTGAGGTGGGTGGATTACCTAAGGTCAGAAGTTTGAGACCAGCCTGGCCAACATGGTGAAACCCCGTCTCTACTAAAAAAAAAAAAAAAGAAAGAAAAAAAAAGCCGGGCGCGGTGGCTCAAGCCTGTAATCCCAGCACTTTGGGAGGCCGAGGCGGGCGGATCACAAGGTCAGGAGATTGAGACCACAGTGAAACCCCGTCTCTACTAAAAATACAAAAAATTAGCCGGGCGCGGTGGCGGGCGCCTGTAGTCCCAGCTACTCAGGAGGCTGAGGCAGGAGAATGGCGGGAACCGGAGGGGCCAGTGAGGAATGGCACCCTCCAGCTGGCACAGCCTGACCGTCTCAAAAAAAAAAAAAAAAAAAAAAAAAAAAAAAAAAAAAAAAAATTAGCTGGCCATGGTGGTGGGCACCTGTAATCCCAGCTACTTGGGAGGCTGAGGCAGGAGAATCACTTGAACCTGGGAGGCAGAGGTTGCAGCAAGCTGAGATCACGCCACTGCACTCCAGCCTGGGCGACAGTGAGACTCTGACTCAAAAAAAAAAAAAAAAAAAAAAGAAAAGAAAGAAAGAAAGAAAAAAGAAAAAAAAAAAGGAACACAAGCTTTGGAGCAGGTCTGCTATTCATACCCAAATACCTCCCCTTAATCTCTTTCGGTCTCATTTACAAGGTCCAGCTCCAGAGGAATGGTGTTGTGAAGTAAGAAAGTTAATATTTCATTTATATAGGCGAAGGGGTGGCCAGCCCCTCCACACCTGTGGGTGTCAGGTGGAACCAGAGACTTGAGAAAATAAATAAGAGAGACAAAGTAGAGAGAAAGAAAAGTGGGTCCAGCGGCACTCAGCATACGGAGGAACCGCACTGGCACTGGTCTCTGAGTCCCTTCAGTATTTATGGATCATTATCTCTACCATCTCGGAGAGGGGG